TGGTCTTCATTCACACAAAACGGAAACAACACCCCAGAGCAGTTCTGCCTTCCTCAGAAACACAAATTAAGGAAAATAACAAGTTTTACTGATTCTGAGGCTAAAATGTTTTAAACAGAAACTGTAGGAAGCAAAGGGTTATCAGGAATAAGTACAACAGGCGACAGAACTATTTTAGTCTTTCTGGTCAAGTGGTAATTTCAGCACAAATATAAGCAGTTTACTGAGAGATATCATAGCATTAAATAAACAATCACATGAGGCTTTTGTAAGACAAGTCTGATTTTGTGTTGTCAACAGTACTATAGATGTCTAGCAAGAAAAGCTCTACCATGACTGAGGTCATTGACATTTGCATCAGACCTACTATATTGTATTAGGCAGAAATAGTTCAGGTTTTATCACGTATCATGCAAGTGCCTAAAACAAAATGCATTTGCATTCTCATCTTGTAACCCAGCAGGCTTCTCTGGTGGCTTCAGTGGTAAACAACCTGCCTGCAATGGGTCCAATCCCTGGGTTGGGAAGATCCTCTGGAGAAGGAAATGGCAACTTACTCCAGTATTCTTGCCTGAAGAATTCCATGGACAGAGGAGCCTGGCAGGCTACAGTCCATGGGGTCGCAGTCATATATGACTTAGCAACTAAACAACAAACTAGACCTTTCTGGGACAGACCCCCCTGCCTGCCTTCTACATGCCTCTTATTTGCAGAATAACTTGAGCCTCCTAGGCCTTCCCCAAGTTCCAAACAATAAATTTAATCAGAGAAGTGAGAAAACACAGAAACAAAGGAAAACGGTCAAGCAAGACAAAATAATGACAGTTCAGCCATTAAACGATGTCAAGGACCTTTAGTTTCCCCTCAAGAGCTAAAGGTAATATTCTGAGCCATATTCTTTGAACTATTCTGCAGATAATGAAACCCTCACTAGGTGGAAAAACTGTAGGCTATCCACAAGCATGTACACCCCCGGTGGGCTGGAACCACAAGATGATGCTGACTCTTGATTACTTCACCAGCAACCAATCAGAAGAATGCCCATAAATTGAACATATACCCTGCAACCCTCTCCCTCACCCTGTCTTTTAAAATCTTTTCCTGAAAGTCATTGGGGAGTTTGGGCTTTTTGAGCATTAGCTGCCTGGACTCTTTACTTTGTGCCCTGCAACAAATAAACACTGTACCTTCCTTCACCACAGCCCAGTGTCAGTAGATTGGTTTTACTGTGCGTTGTGAGTGGATCCAAATTTGATTTGGTAACAGTATTAAATAAAAGGTTCTCTGAAGAATTTATATATTATATATATGTTTTTGTTTCTATGTATTGTTTTCTATAAATACCAATCTCACTGAATTCCTCTTCAAGTCTTTGAAATAGCTATAGTTAATATATGGGTGAAAATCTAAATAAAACTGGGTCAATTGAGTAAAATCGCCTCTTAACCTTCAAGGAAACTTGACTACATTAACTAATGTGTCTTCCTGAAGGCTGAGACTCATTAAATCAGGGTATCTCAAAACATAGCAGAGTCCCAGCAAAACCTGAACTGTGCAGCCAGTGCATCATTTTGGTTTAGGAACACAGACAAATTCTAGTTTCTACTCATGGAATCATCCTCTCCCCATCTCAAATGCATGCCTAACTGCTCACGGTGCTCAAGAGCCGTCTCTTCCCTGGCCAGTGACCCACCCTGACCCGCAGGGTGACTGGAGAACAAAAGCTGACAGCCAGCATAATAAGACCAAAAACCAGGTCTGGGATTACATCTGCTGGTGTGGTGCAACTAACCCACATTATCCCCACACCCTTTTCTCAACATACCTAACTAGCTACATTAAAGTGAAGTACTACTGCACAGGCCCTTGTTTAAACTGAAGGATTGCTGGGCCAGATCTTTTTTTTCACTGTAGTAAAATACACATAACATAAAAACAATTTTAAAATGTACAATTCTGTGGCACTTAGTACATTTACAATGTAGTTAACTAGTACCACTATCTAGTTCCAGAACATTTTCATTATCTCAAAGGAAATCCTATACCCACTAGCAGCTAATCTCTGTTCTTCCCATTCCCAGTCTCTGGTAACCACTATCTTTAACCATTTACCAGAGCAGTTAATAGTTTGGGCTAATACAGCTAGTACTGTATGATCAAAGCAGCCTATGCTCACGGCAGTTTCCTTACGCTGTCTAAATTAGGGTGACTTCAGTTCACCTGAACTTTTTAAATGAAGCAAATCTATGCTTTAGATTACTATGGAACAATGTTCTACACTCAAAATTTTCTTCTAGAAAGAGAGTATCACTGATAACTACTAAGAAGCAGTTACGCAGCAACCTATCCCTGCAGAGAACAATGTAAAAACATGAAATGTAATTATTGACCCCATTCAGTCATGCTTGCCCTCATCTCTCAGTTCAGTCCTAGAAAACATACTGTTTAGATAATCAAATCACTAAGATGCTGCTAAGTCTCATGCCAGCTGCAACTGCAAATAATTTTTATTTGGTAGGGTAATCCCTCAGCAGGAAAGTAGGGATTTTAAAAGGCAGCTTAGATTCCATAACTCACTTCTACAGATTTATTATCCAGTGTTTCATGGGATTTGGCTATGGAATGGAATTTCAGTATTAAAAAAATAAACTCAAAGCTACTATTTCTTTTTTCTAAATATTTAGTTATTTGGCTGTATCAGGTCTTAGTTGTGGCATGTGGGATCCTGACCAGGGATTGAACCCAGGCACTGGGAGCACTGAGTCTTAGCCACTAGACTACCAGGGAAGTTCCCAAGCTACTATATCTCAGTAAGAGCAGCTGTAGAACCTGCTCTTTCATGTTCTCTTAAAAGTTGAAAGATCACGAAGCCAAGACTGTTGTTAAGGATAAGGAAAGAGGGTGTGTCGCCAAAGCGTACACAGTGGTGAAACCCAAGTAAACTGTCAGAAGCATTACTGACAGCAACAGAAGAGGACTGACATGCCAGTGCATAAACCAGCAAGGTCCAGCCTACCACCCCAATCACATCTGAAGAATCTACTTGTCACTTTGGTAGGGAGAAAGCATTAAAAAGAATTCATATGTAAAGTCAATACTACTTAAAGCACATATAAATTAAATAAGCCCTGTCAACCATCCATAGGTTTGTCTCCTAAAATCTTAGGCACAAAATAATCTGTAACACTGACATCCATCTTAATTTTCAGAGGGCAAGGGAAGGAGACAACTATTACACAAACTCACAAGTTACCTTTTAAAATTAAGACATCTAAAATAATAATAATAATAAATAAATAAATAAATAAAATTAAGACATCTCAATTTTACAACAAATGTAGAAAAGTATTTATAGAAGAGGGAAAAAAGAAGCTTTGTTTATTGTAAAGTCAGATAAACTTACGTATACAGCCCAGTACCATACATTTACAGAAGTTCATTCACAGGTTACCTTCAACATAACTTATTGGGTTCCATGATAAGGGTCTAAAATGCTTCTAGATTGAATTTAAAATTTCTACATCTAGAGGGCTAAAGGGACATTAGTCCACCGTTGTCAAAATGCAATGAGAAATGTTAATGTATGCTTCATTTCCATCAAAACTTTCTATTCAACAGCTCTTAAAACTTTTTTAAACCCCTGCATCATTTCTAAAAGGATTAAGGCAAACTGCTTTTTTGTTAAAATTCAAAATAAAGCTTTTTCAAGAGATCTAAATGGAACTGCTATGTACAAATTTGTTTAAAACTCTCAGGATCAAGAGATTGGCTATTGCCAACTATAGATTTCATAGTTATTCAAGATAGATAAAACAAATTCTCCCTTCTATTAAAGATGAAAATAAAATGCCTGCATCAGTTTTCTATTACGAAAAAGCTATCAACCTGGTAACAGATGTTATAGTATAGTCTCTCAATACTATGCTCAGTCCTTACATCTTACTTGCCTATGTATAAGATATGTTTTGTTCCTTAAAAAAAGGAAAAAAAAAAAAAAACAGATCCAGTGGGAGAAAGAATGTTTAATAAATGGTACTGAAACAAATAGCTATCTATTTGGAATAAAAATAAAATTAGATCCTTGTACCTTGTACCATGTAGAAAAATACATATATTACTGATGGATTTCAGAGTAAAAAATAAAAATGCAAGTACCCAAAATTCTACATACAAATTTAGGGAGTTTAGACTCCCTAAAGCCCATCCATGGATCTCAGATTATCTAGAAGAGGAACTGTTAATTATAACTTCTATTAAAATTTCAATGCCAAATACCAAATGTCTTTTCAAGATCAAGTCACATGCAACAAATGAAGATGAACACATTAACTCATTGTTGTAACTTTATAAAATCGCCAAACTGGAACTAGAAACAGAGGCATGTCAATACAAATGGACAATGACTTAAGAAGAAAAAAAAAAATACACCAATTTAAATAAGTTTGAGTGCATACTGTACAAGTGTATCCATGTCTGCTAGCCTTTCAGAAATATAAAATCAGCTAAATCTTTAGTACTTAAAATTTAACATATGCAATGTTATTCTCAAACTTGATTAAAATACTTAATAAATACATGTTTAATATGAATAACTGCAACATACTTAAACATCTAAACATATAATAGGAATTCTATAATATTAAAATGCAATACTTTCACCTGCATCAATCTCATACACAATGGAAAAATACTTGCAGATAATTAGCATTAAGAATGCAAATATATTTTCACTGTGGAAGAAAAATAAGATTAGAAATCATATATTTGTATAATCTACAAGAAAGTTGTAGATAGTCTACATTATGATATTCTATGTTAAAATGAAAGCAATATTTAAGTTTACAACAAATTTACTCAAGGCAAAATATTTATTACAGAACAGAATCTTAAATCAAAGCAAGGCAACATTAGATTAACCATTTTAGTTTCTTTTTTAAATGAAGTGTAGCTTTAAAATTGTAATAAAGGTAAAACATAAATTCTAACATGCTCGTCTCTTCTTATAAATGGGATGATGTAGAAAAGCAAAGCTTCAATGTATAGGGATTGGAACCATCTGTAAAATTAAAAAACAAAGTTAACAGTTTCCTTCATCAAACTTTCATGATAAAATTGAATTAGCAGAGTAAATTATTTCACTTTTTTATAGTATTTGAAGAAGGAAAATTTCTGTGTAAGGTAAAGAGAAGATTGCATTCATTCATACCTACTATCAGGTGAGCTAAATGAAAGCTGGAATATTGTCCATTTTACATTCCTGTTGTTCTAAACATCATTTGACACATAGGATGCACTCATAAATTTTTTTCTTTTTTTTTTAGTGAATTAATCATTATAGATAAACAGTATCAGGATTAGGCTTATTTAAGTCCATTTGCAAAATTCACTTTGCAGAAACTATCACCAATGGTAATCACTCTATAAAAGTTCATTCAAATATAGTTTGGGAAATGGAATAAGATTGGAATGTAAAAGAAGATATCAATTAGCTGAAAAAGTTCTAAGAGAGTTAAGTATTAAATCTGATCAACAGGGCATATAAATTTTTAAATTGCTAAAGAAAAGAAGGGGTGGTATAATACACAAATATACTTTCATTTTATACATTCTTCTTTAACTTTTCAGAACAAGCAGAGATAGTTCTTCGTCAACTGATTATGCAAAGAAATAATTATGTTATCTTAATGTACCAGAATTTTAGTATTAAAAAAATTCCTATAAAAGTATATATATCAGCAAGTATTAGCGAGACACTGCAGAAGATTTAAAAAAAACCGTATCTGTCTTCAAGGAGTTTATAATTCATATATTATATTTTTAATATATCTCAAATATGCATATAAAGTCTTTTAAAATCTTCCATCAAAAATTTAGCCTATTTATTTTTGTGACTAAGGTAAAATGAGAGGAGGTATTCCTACTTATTAATTTTTTACTAAGAAAATTTTCAATCAAGAAAAAATATATGGATCAATATAATGAACACCCACAAAGCTTCATTAACTGTCAACATCTGGTAGGCTTACTTCATCTGCTTATTCTCCATACGCTTTTGGGGTACTGGAATACTTTAAAGCAAATCCTAGATACGTTACTCCATCCATATATACTTCAGTGTGTATTCTTCTTCCCCCCACTACCATTCATCATCACTCCTAATAAAACTGATATTAGTTATTCTCCTATTATTTATTTAGAAAGATAATGTTTCAACACCCTATAGATCCAGGAGCTAAGTAAATTATGTAGCACAAAGCTTCAAAAGTTAAATACTAGTATATTCTTTGCACTATAAAAAAGAGGTCATTTACCATCATAAAGAGAGTGACACTTGATTTGATACAAATTAAAATAATGCGGGATACCATTTTTCATCTATCATATTGGTAAAAATCGAAAGTCTGACAACACTCAGCACTGGTGAGAGAGTTGGGCAGCGGGCATTTTCATATACCACAGGTGGTAAACTCGTGTAATCTTTTCCAAGGACAATCTAGCAACATTTACCAAAACATAAACCTTTATGCTCTCTACAAGGAAACTGCCCTACAAATATAAAACATGCAACTATTAGGATGTTTATTATAGTAATAGAAAAAACACAATTAGAAACAAGCAGTATTCATCACAGGGGAAATGGATAAATCAAGTAAACTGTGGTACATCACTATTAAAAACAGCTACTCTGTGGGCGGGGGGGGGGGGGGGCGGAGAAGACGGGGGGTAGCTTTACACATGCTGATACAGAAACAGGTCCAAGACATATTAAGTGAAAACAGCAAGGCACATAACAGTATGTATAGAAGAACCATTTTGTGGAGGAAGAATGAAAGGAAAAGACAGAAAGGTTAGGGGTTATAGAAAGCTTTAATTTTCACTTTGTACCAGTATGTACCATTTGAGTTTTTTAACCATATATATTTATTGCTTTCTTCTAAAAAGATCAACAGGATTTATGGAAGTCAGTCTCCAAGTGGGCCTCAAGGCTCTGTACCACCTTGTACTCACAGCCCTGTATAGCCGCCTCCTACACTGTACCACAGTTGGTCGGTGTGACCTTAAGATTACAGCATAAGTAATATCATGGCACCTCCAGTAATAGGTTACGAAAGGCACTGTGCCTTCTGTTTTGTTGGTCTTTTGCTTTCATCTCTCTTTCACTCATTCAAAAGCAAAAGAGCTACCATGAAATGGTCAACAGGGTTTGATTGTCCCTACAAAGAAACACATGAGTGAGCATGGAACTGGATTATTCAGCCCCCAGTCATAAGACTTAAATGACTGCAGCTTTATGAGACCAGAGCCAGAACCACCCAGCTAAACTGTACATAGATTACTGATCCTCAGAAACAGTAAGATAAATAAAGGTTTGCTGTTTTAAGCTGCTAAATGTTGTGATAATCTGTTACACAGCAAAAGGTCACTAATATAAGAATTATGAGGGTTGTGGAATTTATATGCCTTTTTAAAATTCGAACTTCTATATTATACTATATTTAAAAAAAACTAATAAATGTATCTTTAAATTATCATCAATGTTCTGACAGTAACTCCCACTGAATAATTATGACACAATTTTACTTACTTGGAACTCTTATCTGATAGTGATTTAGTGCTGTGAGGGCTTCTACTGCATCAGTTTTGCATTCCCATTCTAAAAGCCCAGAAAGTGTTTTGGCAGAAGCTAAAACAAAACAAAGAAACACAAATCCACTTTTTATTTGCTTATCATCAAATTAACCAGGAAACTTAAAAAGAGGGAATGTGCACTTACGTTTTGCATCAAACACTTTATATTTGATGAATGTAAGAACTTCATGGTCATTACACAACTGTCAAAGAAATGTAAAGCTCCATTAAAAAAGGCCAAAATAATATTCCTACCTTTTTTGACCCCCTCCCAAGAAAGTAAACTTTATGGTAGCATTTAAAGTTTTGAGTATGGCATGAATGAATTAAACCAAATGTTTTTAGATTAATAAGCTATATGAGAAAATCAATTAAAATGGTGGTATCCTATAAACTATGTATACAATTTTAGTGCTATACAATAAAGCCAAGACTTGTAACTGAAACATATCCTCACAGCTGACCAGGGTTTAACTGAGTACCTAAGGTGCTATACAATAAAGCCAAGACTTGTAACTGAAACATATCCTCACAGCTGACCAGGGTTTAACTGAGTCCCTAAGGTGGGGAGTGGTGTTCTGGAAAAATCAATTCTTTTCTGAAGCATTTCCTGCAGTTAGGGGAAAATGCAGGGATATATAAAGTTCTGTTATGGGTGAGATTTAAGGACATGGTAAAAGAACTTTATAAATGCATGACTAAGCATACCTCATTCTAATTCCAACTCTCAAAAATACTGAGCCACAAAACAACGGAAGACCAATGAAGGATGGAGGCCAGAAAAGTATAATGGTCAAAGAATGAACTGTATTAAGTACCAAATAAGGAAAGAAAATACCAATAACATCAAAAGCAGAAGATGAACAGTGAGAGACTTTGAAACGATGTTAAACAGCCCATATGTGAAAATGAGCAACAGAACACTTCACACAATCCCCACTCCGTGCCCACCTTTGTGAAGGTCTCTTCCGTGACACACAGCGGCACATTGTAATAGTGCAGCACGCAGGAGGGCGGCTGGATGATGTTTTTCGATGCTTGGCCAGCACTGGTGAAACGATTGTTTTTGCTCATTGCAAAATCCTTGTAGCTACTTGTACCATCCTCCAGCTCAAATATTTGACTTGGAACAACTGAATGTTGTTTAGACACACTAAAGATTAGAAATCAAAGAGGTACAGAACATACCTTTGTTAGATAAAAGCAGCAGTTGGCAGTCTCAAACTGTTAACATATATGCCTGCATCAATCCTAACAAAAAAGGCATACGCAGCTATTTAAATACAACTTAAATACTTACTATTCACTATTTTTAACATTTAATATTTAAAGTTAGTTTGAGTTATAATCAATCGCTCTTACACTTAGAAAAACCTACTGAATATAATTTCATATTAGAAAACAAAAAATTGCTCATTTTAACATTTTGCTTTGATTATAAAACTATGTACAAGTAATACACAAAATCTAAATTATATGATCTGAAGTGTCTAAAATGACACCATTATAGCTGCTAGTTTCAGATGTGCCCTCAGTTACATTAAAATATTCTGAAATGGAAACTAATGTCTCTGATAAAAAGGATAATGTTTTTTAAATTTACCACTTAAGATAAATAATTACCAAACATTAAGTCTTTTTCCAAACAATTTGACATTGTTAAGATGTGTGACAGCTCTTTCTACAGCATACTCATCGCCCATTTCTACTAGTGCTGTACCAGGAATGGTCTTCATAAATTTTACCTGTAAGTACAAAATCCCCAAAAGGTGAACATTTAATTCCCTTTAACAGTAACAGAATATCTAAAAGACATTATAAGTGGTTGATGGCAAGTAAAGAAGAACACCTGGAATCTTAACTTTATTCTGCTTTTCTATTAGACACTCTTAACTCTTATCAAAATGCATAGTTTAAAACAGAAGACTACAATTCTATTGTATAACACACTGAAGAAGAGCACAGGCTTACCCTAACTCTGTTACTTATTAACTGTGTGATGTGGGGCAATTCACTTCTCTGAGCCACAGATTTCCTTCTAAAATGGAGATAATGATAACATTTGGCAGAACTCATCAATATTTATTCATCCAATAAATATTTATTAAGTACCTAATATGTTTTAATAATCATGCACTGTACTATGTACTGGGGATTTAATGGCAAACATAACAGACATGGTCTTTTTTTTTAAGACATGTTAAAGCTTATGTTCAAGTAGGAAGGTCAGAAATGTTAAAGTAAATAATAATTACCAACTATTCAGCATGCTATTTATTGCCTTAGTAACACAGAAGATACTATATGAGAGGTAATACAAAATGACCTTGAGATAGCATTTCCAGTAGGAAGGCTTGGGCAAGGTAGGGGCAGTTTAAAAAATCGGAAATACACGTTTTCACAACATCTTTGAGAGAAGCCATATTTATCCTCTCATATTATTCCAGTTTTAGTATATAATACTATAAGGGTTAGATGGGATAAAGTATGACTATCTTTCAGCATAGTGCCTATGCCTTGGAAAGTCCCTAAATATCTACTAAGTATTACTAACATTAATAACATATTAAACACAGTTCTAACCTGTTAACCTCAAGGAATAGTGAGAGTACTTACACAACAAATTGCAACATAGCATTTATATCTATCACTGCAACTAATCAATTTTAATAGGCTATCCTAGTATTTTTATAGTATACCTGTACTTGAACAAAACTCAGCTGTAGTGGGACTTTTCAGTTTTATTTGAAATCAATTGCGTTCCTGTGGGCAAAATTTCTCTCCCTTGATTTAATCCAATAACGTTTCTACAAATATAATAGTGACTAAATATGTATGTGAAGTATGTAGTTCAACTGGTAAATCTCAAAAAAAAGAAGAAACTAACCATAAATAGATCTTTAAAGGACTATGATGGCTTAAAATGTATCATTTAAATTTTTTAATTTTTTGAGATGTGGAGAGACCAGAATTGTTCAAATAACATACAGAAAAATTTTGTTTTTATTAGAAAGTGATTTTGATTTCTAAATGAAACAATAGTTCACAACACAAAAAAACAATGCTCTAAAAATGTTGATTAAATTGCCTGACTCCAGTTGTCTACAAATGTGAAAAGCACAAACAGAAAAGTAACACTATGTAAAGTAGGTTAAAATACACATTAAAGCATATCAATTATAAATTATGCAGTTCCTGGACCTTAACAGAATACCCAGATGTATAAGATAAATGTGTATATGAAAAACTCTGAATTACTTTTCTCAATGCTGCTAAATCTGTTCCATGTATTCTTGGCTAGTTATACAAGCAGAAATATTCCTTATGTTATCCCCTAAACCAAATATGGAATTTTCTTTTTTTCTTTTTCTCTTTCACATGGTCAAATAGGTAGCGGAAACTTTTTATCAGAGATGGTCCAAGTTACTGTCTCAGATCAAGGGGGCTTTAGAATTAATGAACTGAGAACTCAGAGCAGCAATTCCATGCCCCACCACATACACTTATGACTCACACACTGTACTTTCTTTTATTGCTGTGAAAACAATACTAAAATCACTTAAAACAACAGGAAAAAACAACATACTACAGTAATGAAACTCAAATTAGCAAAAGTATCAAACAACTGGTAAGACTACCAATCATTTCCCCAGTTAAATTTTCCATGATTCTTTCAAAAATAGTTTAGAACATACATTGTGACAGGAACTCTAAGTGTTTGTGAGATATCAATAAAACATCAAGAATCTGGGGAAAGCACAGAATTATCTAGTGAAAATAAGGTTCAATGAAGTTTTAAAGATCTTCAAAGTATGTGAAATTTACATGTTTTGCTACTTTTTCAGTATAAAGCCTCCAGACAGAAAGTTTTGGACACAGTCTATCAAAGTGGGTTAGTTTCAAATACTGATTTGAGGTAAAAGCATGTTGTCCTACAGAAGATACTAGAACTCTAGCACTTGGGAGGCAGATGTATCAATTTAGAACTCTCCTAAAATTGACAGACAGCCAAGTGCTAAGACATGTTTATGTAACCAAGCTCCAAGAAAGTAACTGCTCTTTCAAAATCCCACAGTTCAATATGTTAAATACCAGAATATATCTAAAGTGATTTTAAAAGTATAGGCTTTATGCCTATAATATGCTAGTAATTGATTAAACTACTTAACATTTTAGACTTCTATTTATATTAGTAATTTACTCTGCTATTCAGCAGAAACTAACACAACATTGTAAAGCAACTATGCTTCAATAAAAATAGAAAAATATTTTTAGTATCAACAATCTACTCTGATCACAAACAAACAAAAAACAATTTCTAAATTTCTACCTAATGAATTTTTAACTTATGTGGATCACTACAGAAAGAACCTGCATGCTCTTAAATACGAGAAGACACATGTATCTGCAGCCTTTTCAGATTTTCCTATTATATATTCAAGCAAAAGAAGTTAATATAAAATGTAACTTTAAAAAATAATTTCTTAAAAAAATGAAACTTACCTTTTCAATATTTCCATATAAGCAGAATAGGTTGAAGACTCTTGAACAATTCATTTTTAGTTGATGTAATCCACTAACCATTACAACTGAACCAGAGGGATTTCCTCCATGCATGTAAGAGGAAGAGGCCTGTGGTAATGGATAGGCAACAAGCTCAGGTGTATCTCGAGAGCCCATTCTGTAACGACTCGGTAAAGGTAATAATGGGCCATGGGATCCTATTAAAAACAAAACAAAATAAAACTTTAGCAGACAGACTTCACCACACACAAAAACAAACTCTTATTAGCTAGGTTGATGCATATCCAAGGAAAACTCAAATGTATGAATATTCAAATATAACCTGTGGGAATTAACAAAAATCTGTATTTATTTGTACCACATCCAATATACACTGACCTGCACACACCTGCATACACCAGGATTTAAGTTCTTATTTTTAAAAAGTGATTTTAACAAAAAAGTAAGATCAGGCTATGGATGGATGAAAAGGAATCAGTGTAAAACTTTGGGCCACTATATATAAATTATACATCAAACTCAAAAAAACCTGCCAACATCTTTTGGAGGATGGAATAATACAATAAAATCTTCAGTGACATCTATATACAGATAACACCTTTAGTTCCACTAAGAAGCTGTCCCCTTGAATATATTTTACTATTAATGTACTTTCAGGCTAATATTGTATTCTCCTGATTCTAATTTAGGATACAAAAAGCCTAGTTATTATTTAGTTAATAACCCCCCACAAACACACTCAGAGGTTATCATTATTCAGCAACTTCCATTTTTTGAAACATCAAGAATCCAAAAGAAGATAATGCTTGAATATCTGAATCTGCTGTCACAGAAACATACACAAAACTATGTCTCTCATTCTAAGAATCTTTACTAAGAATCAACTAGCTAACTCCAGAGTAGGTCTAAGTAACTTCAATTTACTCAGTTTCCCCATCCATAAAAGACTAGAAGCAAAAGGAAAAACAAAGCTAGACTGAATGGAATAGACGGGAATGAAGGAGTCCAGAGAAACTGTGATACTAAGAGCTGGCAGAGGGCACATTTACAGAAAGAAGAGAGGCATAAGAACTGAGAACAAGCAATGAAGATGGAGAGATGTAACTCAAAAATGTAAACCCACACATCTTAGTGCTCCTGAAGTGAAGTGTTAGTCACTCAGTCGTGCCCAACTCTGCAACCCCATGGACTGCAGCCCACCCCTGTCCATGGGATTTTCCAGGCAAGATACTGGAGTGGGTAGCCATTTCCTTCTCCAGGGGATGTTCCCGACCCAGGGATTGAACCTGGGTCTTCTGCCCTGCAGGCAGATTCTTTACCGACTGAGCCGAGTCAGTGATTATAGAAGCATACTCTGGGGTGCATATAAAGATTTTCCTACTGTGCAAGAAACCAATCCAAAAACCCAAGTCCTTCCCTCATTTTTCAAGAAATAAAGAATATGTAATGCCACTGGCTTTCAGTTTTATGTAAGACTAAGGAACACTTGTCATCTACTGAGTGAGTTACTAAGAACTACTATATTTTGGTATCATAGCACACTACTACAGCTTACATGGATTCAATATTCAATATTCTAAATATAGTTGTCATTCATAACAACACAGAAATACTATCACTGAGCACATGTAAATATAGTGTAAATTCCTGCAATTTTATGGAGGCATACTTTATCAATATATCATCATCAGTGTTGCCTTATATTGGTCAAGGTTTTCAACTGCTCTTATTGTCCATAATCTAGTTTATCAAAACAATCAATATAGCTCATGGTGAGTTACTTGTTAAGTAATTACCTGTATTTCGGCCTCTCTGTATTTCCGCCTCTAACTTAGACTATTACACATATGGTGGCGTTAAGTATCAATTATTCTTACTCCTACTGCAAAAATGCACATATATATTATACTACAACCAGGCCTTCCCCTAATACTACCATTTGCTTGTACAGTAATGCCACTACACTATTATGACTAAATTTTTTCACAGAAAGTGGGAAAATGTATGTTAGATAGGTAATGGAAACTTCCACTCTGCTGAAGTTGACCAAGGTCCAAAAACTCTAGATCCAATGCCATAGGTAACAAATTCAGTGCAAAAGATTAACTGATGTTTGTAATGACACTGAGCCAGCAGGGTTAAATTATGCTATATACACTATTTAAATCATTACCTATATTAAGAAGACTAAAAACAAGTCTCTTAAAAGCTTTCTAAATAACTCATGCAACAAGTATTGCTGCTTCTGTTTTAAAAAAATTCACTTATGTGGGAAAATGCTACATAAAAGGAATTTTGAACACTTTGAAGGCCTTCCCCATCTTCAATACTTTAAAATCTGTACATTATTTTTTGCCACTTTTCAAGTATGAGGGCTTCTACCATGCATCTCACATGGCTGGACTTTCAAATAAAGATTTAAAGAATTCTGAAAGCACAGAATTGTACTGCTATAATAAACTAGTGAACAAGTTTAATCTATTAAATAAACTTTTTCCTTTTTCACATGCTATTATAAAGGAAAAGTCACCTATGATATGACACCAAAATGCAAATGAACCTGCTTTGCTGAACTGCTGGCCTGAAGGGACACAGCTATGATTTGAAGCATCTGTAAAAAAGGCTCAGTATCACGAGCACTGACTCCCATCTTTGCTTTTACCCCAGTTTCTTCATGCTACTTCCCTCTTCAGTCAATCCTGATTCATCATTATCTCCTATCCCCCATCCTGCTTACTTCCCTAGGAAAACAGAGCAAACTTTCCTCTGAGACAAATGTTTCAATAAACACAGCTCAGGGCAGGTGCCCCTACACAAACCCACCACAACCATCCTTCAGCAGGACTCTTCAGAACCTGAATGATCCCTATTTAACAAACATCATTCCAAAGAGTTTTGCATCTCTCTTTAAGCTTACATCTTAAAATTTATACACACATACTCTCTGTTGGCATGAAACCAACAGAGAATTTCACAACAGGCTTTCAGAAAACACAAAGTTCTTCTAGGGCATATAACATATTCTTATTAATTTTCATGTATTTTATTAAGTGAAGACAAACCTGAAAAGCCACACTGAGAAAATGGTTTGTGTCATCATTACTGTAGTACTTTGTCCTTCATTTATATGCTCACAGATTTTTTTCTAACTCCCTCTGGCAGAATATTTAACCAATTTTTGGCCTTAAGCTGACTGCCATGACACATTTATATAATCTACAACTATACTACAAACTTTGATGAGCCATTCTTTTGAAACCCTCCATTATACAATGCACAGTAAATACCTAGCAGGGTTTCTTTACTGAAGGATCAGAACTACTTGTATGACCATATTAATATTTACTGTTAAAGAAACAACTAAGAAAAATGATCAAGGAACACACTATAATGACTGCAGTAAGATTTTCACTTTATACTACACTTACTGTTTTGATATAACATATTGTTTCAAAATTTCTTCTGCAATACAGACTACCATAGAAAATGAACAATTAGACACATCCACACACATGTAATTAATTCCTCGAATTCAAAAAAAGACACTAGGGATTAAGCTAAAACTCACAGCAAAGAATGGTCATCAAATATGTACACTATTTGAAAACATTTCAAACAACAGGAAACACTGGTGGCTTTTCAATAATAAATCCCAAGAACACAACATAGCAATTTCTGTTTTCTACCACTTTTAATAGTAATGCTAATTGTACTTCAACTTTAAACCACAGAATAGGTAGGGTCAATAACTACTGCTAAAAACTAAAAAAGTATTTAAAAACACAGAACTTAGAACCAGTTTAAACTTTTATCAACAATTCTCAACATCTACTTATAAAGACAACAGCCAGATACCCAACTTTTTCCTGGGGAAGATTATTAATCTAGGCTTCATAATCTTAATTTATCAACATAGCAAACATTAAAACTAAGAAGTTTAAAAAAAAAAAGAACTAAATACCAATTTAACCAAGTGTAGAACTAAAAGAATTAGAGATCTAACCAAAATCATGTTTCCTTTTCAATAAATATCCCATTCACTCTGCCTTTTATTACTCTAAATTCCTCTTTGCTCATAACTGCTGGAAATGGAAGAAAATACACTTACTGAGCTATACTTCTTTTTTGGTCTTCTAACAGTCTAGAGCTCACAACTAATCAAAACCAAAACAAAACAAAATGCAATGGTAAAAAAGCTTTCAATCCTAAACAAGAGCTCTCATTTATCCCAAAGATTATATGATGTAACAACAGCCTAAGAAAACAAAGGATTTTGGACAACTCCTTTGGAGTATATTAATAAGAGACTGATCCCATAAACCAACTCAAGTGAGCAGAAAAAAAAAGAGAGCCAAGAATTGTGCCATTCTTCATCAGAAATGCAAAAATTCTAAGAGTTTTTCTATACTACCTTCCTTCTGCCTTGACAAACTTACCATAGCCATCATGTCTAAACGAAGAAGGGTGTTCTCCCAAAATGGCTTGTCTCTGGCGACCCTTTCCTCTATCTGACACAAAAGTAGAAACAGGGTTTTAACAATTTTGACTCAAGTACTTAACAGAGTTCTCACATGGGAAACACCCATTCAAAACATCCATTACAATTCATGAGAAATGTGATTCCTGGTTAATGTTAAACATCCATTCATATCCAATTTAAATACAAACACCAGAAGTTTAAGAAAATAATTCTATCTAACAAATTCCACTTAACTTGAAAATATCTTTTTGGCAAACGCCAAATACAATCACACTTTCGAATTTAAGGAAAGAATGGATACTTTTCAGAAAGTGAGGTACACAATGCTAAAGCTTGACACTGTACAGAAGTTTTTTTTACCAATACATGTCTTTAAAACAAGCTTTAAGTGCAGTACTTTTGAAAGACAGTACCTGATGCATACTATTAGCTTCAACAGCAACACATTTTCAAAGTGGGCTTCTTTCAAGAAGTTCAGCATAAGCCAACAACAACCTGTATTACATGGTTTCACAATCAGTAAACACAGAGTATTTTGTATGTATATACACATATTTACAAACACCTACTGACTTGAGAGCTGGAAATTTTCACATCACTGGCCCATACTGTATCATAGATTGGCCATTGTCTATAGACCTTAACACCAGGCAGAACTAGGAACACCCCCAAAGCTTAAATATGCCAAGTTAAAGCTAACCAAGGGGGCTACATTATTGGACGAGAGTACTACAATACTCCTAAAGGATAATTTTGATGCTAACTACATCTTTAGGGGAGGCATGCCAATTTCCTCAAATCTAAGATAACAATTTAAAAAATTACTTCTAAGTTTCTAAAATAGTACTTCCTATGTTAGTAAACTTTAAAAATCATTGTGTAATATTTTGAGAAAGTTTGCTGATCAAATTATGGTGTCCAGTAAGATTTTCTTTTTTTTTTTTTTAATGAATCTTTAGAGTCTGGTCATTCTTTGAAAATTCAAAGAGAAAGGTTTTCTACATATCCTTAGTCACCTAAACAAACGAGGTTAATGGGAGATGAGAAATAGTTTAATTTTCACTTCAGGGTACAGAAGTATTGTTTTAATTACCTATTTCAAGTATCACAGCATTGAAAGGGACCTAGGAAGTCATCTAGTTCAACTTTTATTCAGTGTAAAAATTCTCTTTGTATCATCCCTGAGACTATCAACTGGGACCACCTAGCCTCTGCTGACCCAACTCTGGTAACAGAGTACTCATTACTTTCCCTTACATTTTCAGTTAGCCCTAAATCATGAAAAAATTAATTTCTATATTGTATAGAAATTTGTCCTCTAAATATATTCTACTCCATTTAGGGCCTCACAGCCTTACTCAATACTTAGTCTTTCTCCAAAAACTCTTTCAAATGCTTAGAAGTTATTATGATCCTCTCCATATTCCCAAAGTTATTTATTTCTCCTCCAATCTAAACACTCACAGTTCCTTCTTCCCAGTATTATCATTTAAGTCTCACTCTATCAGTCCAGTCTGCTATTCCACTCTGCTAACATTCCTCTGCTCAAGAATGCAACCAAATGCTAAATATAAGTGCTTATCTGACCTAAGAATCTTAAACCAAAACCATCATAAAGTCTTCATGGCTTGGTTTTACTGACAGTTAACTGTGTGCTATAAAAGAAAGAGCACTGAATTGGGAATCAACTAAGATTTCAACTTAACCACTAATTTGCTATATAATCATAGAAATAATCTTTATATATAAAATGAAGGAGTGAGAGTAGATGATCTCTAAGGTATCTTCAGCCAAACACTGTCATTATTTCTCTTTAATAACTTCTCTTCAATAATTGGAAGAATGCACTACCTAACATAAGGTCATATAAAGAAGTATGAGGGAGAGTCAAACACTGAATTTATCAATGTATAAACAGTGGTTTGTAAACTTTCATGGATTCGGTCTGAAATCTGATGGAAGCTGTGGACCTTTCTCCCCCAAAAGATGCACACACACACAAGTTTTGTTTAACATTTCTGGGGGATTCTCTGGAGTCTAGGCTAAGAATTCTTTGCACTAAAATGTAAATTGACCTGAAAAGAACTTTTTGAAATGAGGTTATATTTATAAAGTCATTCTCATTTTTGGTAGAAAAAGTTACAATTCAATGGAAGCTAAAGTCACTATAAAAACAAAAATAAACTGCTATATGATATTTGCTGTACAGACAAATATCTGTAAGGAATCAGAAAACAAGAATTTTTTCCCTTTCAAAGTACAAACAGCTAACTGTTTTACCTCCTTTAATTATATTTCCCTATTTAAATTTCTATCTTACATTTCTAAACTTTCCTGACTATAATTTCTTGTATAAAAATCTAATCTAAGCTGGGTTTTGTAAAACTCAGCTCTTTTAAAAGAACAGAAATAAGCACTATTAAAATAAGAAGGATGTCCATAAATATTTTAAGAAACATTAAGAGAAAAGTAACCAAACTTACTATTTCAAATGAGTTTAGAAAAAAACAAAACAATGTTCAGTGACTGGGACTTGACAGAAGTGAGAGATTTCTCATCAACCACTCGTTCTGTTGTTTGAGTACTAAGGCTTTGCTTTTCAGTACTGTATGCAACTGCACCAAGCCCAGGCCAAGCAGATTTCTGTGAGCAGTAAAAAATATGGGGTCCAGCCTAAGATGCATTATCAAACTTGTTTGCAACCCCATGCATAAGGCAAGATGATTTCCTGAGAACTAAGAATTAAAGGGGTCAATTACCCCCAAATCCTAAATATTTGAACATGCAAAGGATCACCACATTGTCTCTCTTTTTTTTTTTTTTTTGGCAGGAGTACATGCACTATGGAGTTCCTACTGACCAATATATTTTGGATGCATAAAAATTTTTCCTAGTTTATTGACTTCTATGGATATACTCATCTTGGTGAGGTTTCCCAACACATGGTTCAAACACTGATATTGTAGTTGAGATGTAGCCAATACTGCAGCCCCCTTGTTTTTACAAGATCCACATTTTGATTTGTATATTCCAGAATTGCCACACAGTCAGTTGAACATTTATCATTCAAATCTATGCTCATGAAATCTAGCATTTATAAGTTATAGGTGAAAATGCATCTCAAATGAAATGCTCCTGTTTTCAGATTTATAAAGTTTAAATATATTCTACCTTGAACAGACATGGTACTTTCACCTACATTTGAAAGGTCAAAATTTCTAGTTACACAGATTAACATGAATGATACTCTTAAATTGTTACAAAAAGTGACAACTTATAAACAGCCACTTTACAAAAATCAAACCACACAGAAAATCTTCTTTTACATATAATGCATCTTTTCATTATTATGTTATTCAATGTCCACAATTGAGGAAAACAAAAACAAAAAAGTAATCTTAGTTGCAGCAAGTATGCATCTATTTCTTTTATCTTTAATATCTGTGTGGATTGGTTGAGCATTATAATTCCCAAGACCTGTAGATAGCTCTATTAAGGATTATATCCTCTTTTAAGGATTCGATTAACAATTTGAATCTAAGCTGCTAACAGTTACAGCAATGGGCATTAAGATTTACAACATTGGAGATAAAATGTAGTATCCGTCAGTGAGAAGTTTTAAATTCTACAACTGAAACCTTAAGGGAAATCAAACCAATATATACATACAACTTGAATAAATGGGCACAGTCTATCATGGTATTCATCCCATGCAAGTCTGAAGTACTGTTAAGTGTCCTCCTTTAACAACTTGGGGTGATGGTGCATGCAGTATGCAGTCAAGGTGAATTGCAAGTCTGAGTTTTTCAGAGGGCTTTTTGTTGATGCCGATGTTGTGCATGATGAAGTGTAGAGTCAGCCTGCTGGAGTCCTCTATCCTTCTTAATGCCTCGTCCAGCTTGGGGGGAAAGTCCTTTCCATAGAGAAGCAGTGTGCAAGTTTGAAGTTTGTAAGGAATATTCTGAATCAGTTTCCTCTCCTCCAAAGAGAGAGAGCTGCTTGGAGAAATGCAAGTCCTTGAACTGCGGGCGTGCCTGTATGTGTGGGCTCCTTGTTGAACTAAATATAAGTTAACTCAGTACATACCAGAAGGGGGCACTAATGTTCAAGGTTCTTTTCCAGCATTACAAGGCCTTTTGCAACAAAAGCTTCACCAACAAGATTTTCATTTGAATGAACTAGCTCATGTCAGGAAAAAGGAATCTAACTGCATGTAAAAATTTGACAGCAGATGTCAAGTACATCTAAAATGCATAAAATACTTACCTCGTCTTCCCAAATATGGTTTAGTGTAGTCCCAACTGTCATTGTCATTCCTGATAACATTTAGACGAGTTGGCTGTTAAGATTAAAAAGAAAGGGAGTTCAAACTGTGTATCCAAAGCATAAATAACTTCTTTGGCAAAGTGTTGAAAAAAAATATTTACCCTTGCATATTCAATTTTTAGTGTGCAACATCCAGCATATATATCTGCTCCATTGAGAGCTGCTTTAGCTTTCTGGGCACAAAGGACTGATTCAAACATAAGCTCTATTAAGGAAATTTGGTTTAAAATGTCCAAAATTTATTATTATTCACTCCCTAAGAAGTGGACTGAAAAAAGTCAGAAATAACTTACTTCTGAAAATGCTTTATGAAATAAAATTCTAACAATTTTTAGTACGAGAATTTAGTTATAAGATCAAGGGTACCAAAGAAAACATAATGCAACCAAAATATCTACATTAATCCTGCTAGGTCATCAGAATAGGTCATCAGAAATACATTATAAATTGGGGAGGGGGGGGAAATGGAGCATGGTCTCATTCCCTATCAAAGGCCAGCTTGCTATCTTTTTGTTTAGATTTTTGAAGCTTTTAAACTTTTATTTTATATACAAAGAGCTAGTATTATTTCTCCATAAGTTAGATGTCTGACTCATTGGAAAAGACCCTGATTCTGGGAAAGACTGAAGGCAGGAGAAGGGGATGACAGGATGAGATGGTTGGTTGGATGGCATCACCGACTCAATGGACATAAGTTTGAGCAAGCTCCGGGAATTGGAGATGGACAGGGAAGCCTGGCATGCTGCAGTCCATGGGGTCACAAGAATCAGACACAAATGAACGACTGAACTGAAGTTAGATGTGCTGGATGATCCATTCAAGGAAGTTCACTTAGTCAACTTAATGAAGCCAATGTCTTTCACATACTGGTGGAAACACTGGCGGCACATAAAGAGGCTGTATTTCCGGCTCAGACTGTGCTGGTTTAAGACAACCGGGCAAGAGCAAGAACCCTTCTCTCTTTTTATAGCTTGCTATCTTGGAATAGGAAATACTGCACTCTCAAAGCAGGAAGAACAGGTAACTTTCTGTTAGGCAGTCCAGTGATTAGGAATCCACACTTTTACTGCCAAGGGCGTAAGTTCAATTCCTGGTTCAAGAACTAAGATCCTGCAAGCCACACAACAAGGCCAAAAAAATAAAGTAGGAAGAATATTACAAAGAATAAATATAATAACAAAAGAAATACTTGATTTTTATATATTTCTGAGAAGGTTGAGTTTATAATCTTATCCTCATTTTACTGGCCTTTAAAAATTTACTTAAAAAAAAAAATCAAACCACAAAAGTGGTAATAAAAAAAGCAAAAATACCTTGCCAGAGTAATATATATAATATATATTACCATTATATATCCCTTCTTTTTTCTATGCATATACATGTACACATAGGTTAGGGTTTTATGTTTTTCTCAAATTATTTTTTAATGGGATTGTTCTATATATATAGCTTGCTCGTTTTACTCAATGTATGACAAATTTAACATAAAAAAGTAGGTCTTACATAAACCATGATCATTTAAAAGATTCAATGAAAACAGGAAAGAAACATTCTACTGATTCCAACGTTTTGATACTTCCAAACTATTTTAAAGAGATTCAGAAAAGTCCATTTGAGATAAATTTCAAAAAGGTACAAGTATACACATAATCAGTGGGTTTTTTTCCCCATTAAAAAAGCAAGCAAATGGTAATATGAAGCACTAGATTACTTTACAGTAGAAGTTATCAAAAATAGTAAAATTCTCTGTGAGTACTGCAGTTTTGTTTTTAAACCTAAGACAACTAGATGGTAGGAGATAATAAACACTACTTGTTCTCAAAATTATTAAGCAGGAAAAAGTAAGATCTATATTACACAGCATTCATACACGTCAATAAAAAATTTACAAATAAAGGATATTCAACCATTGCTTGTATCCCATTTCTCTTGAATATAACAATACGCTGCACTTTTCCAACAGGATTGCATACAGTATATAAAACATCCTAGGAAGGAAAGATAACAAGACTCCATCACATCTTATACTACGAAATATAATAAAGCTAAGCTCTATTTTGTTTAACAACAACAAAAAAAAAACCTGTCATGATGTCATTTCTATTAAGCACTAATTAAACTTTTAAAAACTGTTACACTTTAATAAATCTAAAGTTATTTCTTCACCTATACAATATACTCACATTAGAGAACTTCCAATGAAACATTTAAAAGCATTATTACTTAAAATCTCCTAAATGAATCCTCAAATTTGTATTTTAAATACCTAAAAGAATCTCTGATAATACAATTAATAAACCAAAGCTGTAACCAATTTTATTTTTTCCCAAATGTGACTCTGAAATGTTTACTATTATAATCACTTAAATTACAAATAAAAAATATTTGTTAAAGAGTAGGAGTAGCACAACTCAGTATTTATTTTTCAAGGACAATGGCTATAGATAAAAGACCCAGGGAAGATCATTTATAAAGAGTTAAATTTCACCAAACAAGATGCCTGAATCTAAGAGAGAACCCTAAATTAGGAACAATTTTCAACTTCCAAATTTTTTGAGTACCTACAATTACAGAGCCACACCATTAGGTAACTAAGGATATAATAAACAAATCAGAGTACTTGTGCTAGTTATGTTCTTTTTCCCAAAACACCAAATACTGTAAATATATTAATGGTGTTTATTAATAAGTCTATACAGATCACAAAAGTAAACAGATACATAATATCTATCTAAATTTAAATAGTATCTATCTAAATTTAAATAGTATCTATCTAAATTTAAATAGTATCTAATGCTTTAAAAGTTTATGTTCAAATATCATATACTCTTACTGGAAATCATACTAAATGAAGCTCCTCTTATGACATTTTATTCATTACAAAAATCAAGTGTCCTTATCACTAGCTTATTATTAAACAGCATGCAATTATTATAAAGTAGAAAACTCAACTGGCTCAGGACATGAATCCTTTCAAAATTCTAACATTACTTTTTGAAAGAGTGAAGAAGAGAAGTTTTTAACAAGTTATGTCTAAACAGTTTATAATGATAAATACATCTTACTGTACCACAGGATTCTGTCACTACCTAGTAGATGCTCTTAATGTGCTTGCATATGAGTGACAGAGATTTCCTGGATCATTTCCAACAAGTCTGTCTATACTTTATTATCAGAAAGAGAGTTAACAGTGAGAGTAGTAAATAAAAGTAATGTGCTTATTTAATTATGACAACTATGCTTCTGACCTTTTTACAACTTCAGTGATCACCATGTCTTTCTTGGTTCATTAAACTTGATAGTCAAAACTAAGATTACTTTTAATAATTCTTTTTTTTTTAAACCCACTATTTTCAAATACCTATATGGCAGTGAAAAAAACTACAGGTTAGTCACCCAAGGCAAATTCCAAAATCACGTTTAATTTAGTTTGTCTTACTAAAATACATACTACTGTAATTGGATAAAGAGGATTCTGAATTGACAGCAGAAGAACTTTATTGCCTCCTGATGGATCATCAGTATTTCCTGGCCGAGTGATCCTTTTGCTTGTAGAATAGTTGAAAAAAGCCTGCTGACCAGCTATGTACACAGGTTCATCTGCAGCAAATGTCACACATTCTTTGGCACTATCTATGTTCTCAAATTCCACCAGAGCCTGCCGTTTAAATGGCATCATCATCACATAGCTGAAAGGAAGATAGGGAAAGAATACCTTAATAAAGCAAGTTTAATTAACATTTTTCTCAACTAAAAGCAGACTTTAATTAAAAATGTCTCAAATCATACAGGCTAGTAGTCTTCAGTACCTACACCCAATGTTAGTAAACTCTTAAATTATCCAAATAAATTGTGGTATACCGGGTAGATGGTTTATGTTTGAAAGCTCCTCTTGTGATTAAAAGCTTTTATGGACCTCATGCCCTCCTCAAGCACAACTCTGTTATCAGTTGCTAATAATCCCATCCAGTTTATTCCTCAGGCTGCCACTTATACGCAGCATTAGAAAATATCTAGATACAGAAATAAACAGAGAAACAACAAGATCTTACAGGGAACTATATTCAACATCCTGTAACAAATCATAATGGAAAAAAATATGAAAAAGATTATGTATAACTGAGCCACTCTGCAGTACAGCAGAAGTTAACACAACAGTGTATGTCAACCATGCCTCAATAAAATAAAAAATAAAAAATCAACAGAGATAAAAATCAACAGAAGGTTAGCAGACGGGACCCCTCAGCAACAGAAACTACCACCTCAAATGAATTTTTCCAAATAAGTGCCACACTAAGAAATGACAACCGTCATTCATCTTACTAAAAACAAAAAATGAAAAGATGAACCAACTAGAGATGAAATTTCATACAATAATTTCCTCTAAAATTCTGATATTTTTAAATATTAAAGAATCCATAAAATGATATTCACTAGAATACGGTAATCATGGATGTAAAATGGGCAAGAGAATATTTACTTTTGACTGTATATTCTTCAGGAAGGAGAATATACTGTAATACATGAAATGAAAATAAAGAAATGAAGGAAGGGGATGGACTTCCTTGGTGGCACAGTGGGTAAGAATCCACCTGCCAATGCAAGGGACACAGGTTCAATCCCTGGTCTGGGAAGACTCCACATGTCCCAGGGCAACCAAGCCTGGGAACCACAACTACTGACCGAGCCAGTGCTCTAGGGCCTAGCAGCTACAGCTCCTGAGTCCCCGTGCCACAACTCTGAAGTCTACTCAAAGTCACAGTTGTTGAAGCCCGTGGGCCTAAAGCCTGTGCTCCGTAACAAGAGGAGCCACTGCGGTGAGAAGCCCGTGAAAGGCAACTACAGAACAGCGCCCACCCACTGCAACTAGAGAAGGCCTGTGCAGCCATGAAGATCCAATGCAGTCAAAAATAAATAAAGCAGTGTGCACATGTCACAGAAAAACTAGAAATGAAGGGAGGTTAGCAAGAAATCAGAACACGTCGATAAGAACAGGGAACCATGTCCTCTATTCACAGAAACAAGGGCCTTAAAAATATTTTTAAATACAATCAATGTGCTTTTTCTAAGAGCAGAAGGCCAGAGAAATAACATGAGGTCAGGTAGTCAGTGACAGCACCGCTTCTCAATCAGGCATCCAGGAACTAACTACACTTCAAAAACCAGCAAGTCATTTCTTAGTAAGAAACAGACCACTTTGTAGCCTGGCAAATTATGTAATTCCTTAAGAATTTCAGCTTCCTTGTTTATACAACTGGGAGCACGGCTGTCAAGATTACAGTTCCTACATACAAATTGTTTGCCTTGCCGCATTCATCTTTACATCCTCAGCATCTAGAAACAAAGAGCCTGGCACATGACAGGTATTCAATCAATACTTGTTGGTCTAGGAGTTTTATTAGCTTTCAGCCCACATCATTCAAAACTGAAGAATAAAACACAGAAACAGTAACGCCTGGGATTAGGTTTACCAACAATAAATGCAAGATAGAAATTTCAGGAGAGAAACATTCATTTTAGAAACTCAAACTCCTAGTTGAGGTTCTAAAGTTTTGTATACAAAAAAATAGAAAACACCAGAATTAGGTCTATGCTAAAGAAATTTAATAAATATTCTTCCTCTCACAAATCTAAGTTGGTTTAAAGCTAAAAGGTATCACCAAGTAAATATGTTAATAATGTCCTTCGGGTCTTTGGAAAGACAGAAAAATCATAAAGTTTCAAAAAATAAATTCTTTATTGGCCTATTATAATAGACTTATCTGTTTGTAGTAAAAAAAAAAAAAATGCTTTCTATAGCTAAAATAAGAAGTAAGTTAGAAGCACAGAGCTAAATGTTACACATCTTACCCAGGAAAAGTAGTATCATATAAAGACAGGGAATGGAAAATTAGAATGTCACAAGCATTTTATAATTCATTTAAATTCTGGGGCACATAATGAAAAAAAAAAAAAAGTTCAAAGTACTAATATGAGAAAGACTGGAAGACCAAAGAGAGAAAAAATAAAAAGTCCAAGAAAAATAAAAAGTCCATAGACTTAAGACTATGAGAAAGACTGGAAGACTGAAGAGAGAAAAAATAAAAAGTCCAAGAAATAAAAGGGTTAGTAGAGTAGGTATGTTCAACTTATAGCTTAAAACATGCTTACTAATTTTTAAATAAAAACAAAAGGAATCAAGAGATTTAATACATAAATCAGGTCTCAAAAGTTTTGTTTTAAAATTCAAACTGGTATAGCTAATCACTACCTAGTATTCTTTCCTTTTATGAAGGAGAGAAGAGAGGAAAAGAGACTTATAAGGATATATTTTTAAATATTCTTTCGATTAAATAAAGACAAAAAATAGCAATTATCCTGACTTATTTTTAACATCTTACAGTTTCTTCTGAACTTCCTTCCTATACAACTAGTTTTTAAGTATAAACTTACTATATATTGAACTTGGTGACTCATCTTTTTAATACAAGCAGTTTCTGTATAATCTTTATATTTGCCCTCACATATACCACCAAATAAATCAACAAACAAAAAAATATGGAAAGTTTCTATAAATGTGACATTTTGAAGCAAACACCTACTCCTCACAGGAGGCTATTCAAACTTCTTTCAGCTTTGGTAGCAGCTACCTCTTATTCAAGATCATTTCACACAACTGAAACTCCTATTGTACATATTTATGCCAATTAAGCTCTTAATTATACACTAATTTGTTCCAATTATTTCACGATTTTTCTATCCACATAACTATGAATCTTGAGGGCAGAACCATGTACTATGCAAATTAAATAAAATTCATATATGGAACACATTACCATAGACTATCAAACAGTATAGAGTCTAAAAATGGACAAGCCACTCAAAAGTAATTCAAATTAATCACAACCTTAAACAAACAGTTCTATTTCTTTAGTCCCCAACATTCAGTTCATGGTCATAACTGACATCAAAATATCAATACAGTTATTATTTCCCTAAAGTTTCCAACTTCATTTGCTCACCAACTTGTTTTCTGACAATGCTTCAGTATTTCTTGGCTGTAAAAAAATAAAGCCCCAAATACATAAGAACAGAAGAAAGTAAAAATCCAGAGATAACCTCATTGTCTCATGGAGTCTTTTTATAACTCCATGAGACAACACACCACCTGGAAGTGGTGACTGGGTGAATCAATGTCAACAGGCAAGTCTAAGTATCCTCTAAGGAGTCTGCTTCAATACTATGTAACTCTTCAGACAAACTTAACTTCCCATATCCACTCCAAATGACTAAGAAGTGACACAGTCATCTTAGTGATACTTCAAGAAATGGACTTTTATTTATGCCCATGTGATTTTCCAATCTGTACCTCCAACAACAAACAAAATGTTAACAGTGGTTTCTGAGGTCCGTAAGTTAAGGGTAATAAGTTTGCTAAGTCTTCACCTCTCAATGAGGTCACCAAAGAAATTAAGAAGATGCCATGATAGAAGGTATCACCTAACACTACTAATGCTCCTTTGAAGAAATAATTCCTCTCTGTTGGAATCTCTGATCTCTCCCTCACCATCTTCTTTCAATACTCAAAACTCCACATAAATTTTTATAAAATTGAAGCAGTCAAATGATCTCAGCAAATATAATGAAATTTCTCTCCTGTTTATATATTATGACTTAGTCTGTATAGTCTCTATTGCCTATAACAAAAACCCCAAATGTATTTATCAATGGAAAAAAAGTAATAAATTCTATATTATCCATACTAAGAAAAGAACAGCCAAGCATATCTCAATTTAGAAAGAATTTTTTTTAAGTGTCTATTTTTGGCAGCAGATTCATTTTTCAAATCACATTTTTCATGTAAGTCAGTATTCTTAAGTATACACAAGCTGTAAAGGAAGACCATGAGAGAATACAAACCACAACAGGAGGATAAGCGAGGATAAAACGCTGACCACTCCTGATATCACAGCATCTCACACTAAGCAAATAACGCCTACCCTTGTCTACCCACTTTTCGTTGCCAATTAATTCCTGAATAGTTCAAAGCAAACTAAAACAACCACCAAAAAAACAGTATTTAAGTACCACTATTTGAAACTCTTAAGATAAAGGGCATAATTAATTAATTCAATGGCTTAAAACAGTGTTTAAGAAGGAATCATGGATTCATTTGAAAATCAGATGAAAGATGCAATAATCAATGTTACACACAATCTGGTTGAGGAGTGAGATGGGATCATGACCAACAAAACTTCACCTCAGAAGAATTAAAATAAAAAATTAATCTCAGAAAGACTCAGAAGGTTTCAAAGAAACACAGTCATAGGCAAACAATATATTCTATGGCTAAACATCAAGGCTTGTAGCAAGAAAACAAAGTCTGTTCTACTGTACTGTTTTCACAATCTATATGAAGTCCCTATTGGCCTTACCATATTGTCCCAAATTTTTCCAGGGCCTCCACAAGGTCTGCTTCCACCACAGATTCACAGAGTCCTCGAACATGGACAACGGGTGAAACAGAAACTTTATGATGACTTCCACCTGCCTCCTAGCAAGATAAAATAATTTTCAGTTAAAAGTCTAAATTGCATCATTTAGTAAATCCAACTCTGCATTAAAAAGCAAACACTTAAATAAAAATCCCAAATCAAAAAAGTGAACAAAAAGTCCCAATTAATGTAAGGGTATACACTCTATTTTTTCTGCAATATAGATTAATATCACCTTTTGACCTTGTTTAACTGATTATCTAGCTCCACCATAATTTGAAGTTACTCAGTATACTTGACAACTTAAATTTATGCAAGGTACCATCTTTGCTGAAGTACCAGTATGGATGTAAGAAGTGGACCATAAAGAAGGCTGAGCGCCCAGGAATTGATGCTTTTTGAACTGTAGTTTTGGAGAAGACTCTTGAGAGTTCCTTGGACTGCAAGGAGATCAAACCAGTCAATCCTAAAGGAAACTGACCCTGAATATTCATTGGAAGGACTGATGCTGAAGTTGAAGCTTCAATACTTTGGCCACCTGATGTGAACAGCTGACACATAACAAAAGACCCTGATGCTGGGAAAGACTGAAGGCAGGAGAAGGAGACAACAGAGAATGAGATGGTTGGATGGCATCACCGACTCAATGGACATGAGTTTGAACAAGCTCCGGAAGATGGTAAAGGACAAGGAGTGCTCCTGAACAAGGAGCACTCAAAAATACAAGCCTTGGAAATTCCCTGTTGGTCCAGTAGTTAGAACTGGGTGATTTCACTGCCAGGGCCTGGTCAGGGAATTAAGATCTCACAAGCTGCAAGGGCACAGCCAAAAACAAATAAACAAAAAACACAAGCCTTCCTGGGCTTCTGTGAAATACTGTGTATCTTTTGAGTATGCCCAGCAAGAAGTTTTAAAATATACAGTCTTATGCTTTATTTTAAAGGGGACCATGTAGGAGAATTAGCTTGAAAATGAAAATAGCTCTCACTTATTCAAATTCTAGCAAGTCAAGATTTACACATACAACAAGCCACTGGGCACCACTCCTACATCACTTCAGAAATGACCTCCATGGCAATGTAAGTGTCCATCAACAGATGAATGGATAAAGAAGATGTGATGCATGTATATATGTGTGTGTGCGCATACATGCGCACACGTGTGTGTGTGTGTATATATATATGTGTGTATATATATATATATAAAACAGAATATTATTCAGCCATAAAAATGAAATTTGGGGACTTCCCTGCCAATCCAGTGGTTAAGACTCAGTGATTGTACTGCAAGGGGTGCGGGTTGGATCCCTGGTCAGGGAACTAAGATTCCACATGCTCCAAGGCTCAGCCAAAAAAAAAAAAAATATTGCTATTTGAGACAATATAAATGGAGCTCAAGGGTTTTACATGGAATCTAAAAAACAAAACAAACCTACAACCAAAACAAAACAAAACCAGACTCACAGTTACAGAGAACAAATGGATGTTGGGAGGGGAGGAGTGTGAAATAGGTCAAGGGGATTAAAAGATACAAACCTCCAGGTATAAAATAAATAAGCCATGGGACGTAATATACAGCATAAAAAATATGGTCAGTAATATTATAATAACTTTGTAAGGGACTGATGGTTACTAGATTTATTATGGTGATCATTTCATAATGTATGCAAAGTCCATTCACTATGCAGTCCACCTGAAGCTAACATAATATTATACATAAACTATATTCCAACTGAAAAGTTTTTAAAATGAAAGGAATGAAACCCATGCACAATTCATATATATAACCAAAAAATCTATTAAAGGAAAAGGTTTTTCTCCTACAAATGGGAAGAAAGGTTTTTTCTTCTAATCTAAAAGAGCATATTTTACCATTAAAACTTAAGAATCATTTTAAGAAAATTAAATCCCTTTATGGCTATTTTTAAAGACCTACCAACTTTGCTTTATTATAAAGGCTGTTAGAAAATGCTATAACAGTCTTGTGCACAGCTAATTAAAAATGTCAGAATCTAAAGATCTAATTTAAGTATATAAGGAACCATGAGATTACTCTGACACTCTTGTCAAAATTGAGTCCTTTGAAAATATTAATTCAGTCCTTGGAATTTCATTTGAATTGCTTATGCTGAGTTTTTTCTAAGGTAAAACCAATATTGATTACATGCCACTAAGTCTGAAATGAATCATTCTAATTGCACCCTATGTATACCAACATTCTATCAGCAGCCTAAACAAATGAGACTGTATTGGTGAAACTCAACAACCAAATGGACATTATCATCATTAAGCTCTTAAATACTACTGGATGACAATAATTCAGGAAGAAAGCTCTAAATAATACCTAAAAACCTAATTTACAGACAACACAAAATACAAATAACAAGTTTTACTCTAAAAATAATTAGACAATAATAAACTACAAGAAATAAGAGAGCTGTCTCCTTTGATCCTTAGAAATGAGCTGGCAAAGGAGGAAGTGTAAAATAAGCTCTATGGTCTGGGCTCTTCACACAATACCAGAATTTAGTGGGAGGAAGACTTCAGACTGAAGAGTAAAGAGACAACCAAATGCAGTATGTGAGGTTTCATTTTATAACAAATAAAAATTGCTATGAAAGTCATCTTAGGGAAAACTGGAGAAACTCAATTATAGACAGGATATTAAATAGAAGTACTGATTGTCTGAAAAGTAAAAGCGAAAGTTGCTCAGTCGTGTCCGTGGACCCCACGGACCATACAGTCCATGGAATTCTCCAGGCCAGAATACTGGAGTGGGTAGCCTTTCCCTTCTCCACGGGATCATCCCAACCCAGGGATCAAACCCAGGTGTCCTGCATTGTAGGAGGATTCTTTACCAGCTGAGCCACAAGGGAAGCCCAAGAATAGTGGAGTGGGTAGCCTATCCCTTCTCCAGAGGATCTTCCCAACCCTGGAATCAAACAGGGGTCTCCTTCATTGCAGGTGGATTCTTTACCAACTGAGATACCAGGGAAGCCACAGATTGTCTAAGGTACCATTATGATGGTAATGGCTATATGAAAAGCATACCCTTATTCTTAGGAAAGCTGTGGTATTTAAGGATGAACTATCATAAAATTCTCCAAGCCAGGCTTCAGCAATATGTGAACCGTGAACTCCCAGATGTTCAAGCTGGTTTTAGAAAAGGCAGAGGAACCAGAGACCAAATTGCCAACATCAGCTGGATCATCGAAAAAGCAAGAGAGTTCCAGAAAAACATCACTTCTGCTTTATTGACTATGCCAAAGCCTTTGACTGTGTGGATCACAATAAACTGTGGAAAATTCTTCAAGAGATGGGAATACCAGACCACCTGACCTGCCTCTTGAGAAACCTGTATGCAGGTCAGGAAGCAACAGTTAGAACTGGACATGGAACAACAGACTGGTTCCAAATAGGAACCTGCTTATTTAACTTACATGCAGAGAACATCATGAGAAACATTATGAGAAACGCTGGGCTGGAGGAAGCACAAGCTGGAATCAAGATTGCCGGGAGAAATAGCAATAACCTCAGATACGCAGATGACACCACCCTTATGGCAGAAAGTGAAGAACTAAAGAGCCTCTTGATGAAGTGAAAGAGGAGAGTGGTGAACTGTGGTGTTGGAGAAGACTCTTGAGAGTCCCTTGGACTACAAGGAAATCCAACCAGTCCATCCTAAAGGAGATCAGTCCTGGGTGTTCACTGGAGGGACTGATGTTGAAGCTGAAACTCCAATACTTTGGCCACCTCGTGCAAAGAGCTGACTCACTGGAAAAGATCCTGATGCTGGGAAAGATTGAGGGCAGGAGGAGAAGGGGACAACAGAGGATGAGATGGCTGGATGGCATCACCGACTCAATGGACATGGGTTTGGGTAGACTCCAGGAGTTGGTGATGGACAGGGAGGCCTGGCGTGCTGCGGTTCATGGGGTCACAAAGAGTTGGACACGACTGAGCGACTGAACTGATCATGATATCTGCAATTTACTTTCAAATAGTATAGGGGGGAAAAGTATGTATATAGAGATAAAATCCCAAAGGGTAAAATGCTAAAAACTGCTGAATCTAGAGGAAGGACATATGGAATTAAACATTTTACACTTTTTTAAGTTGGGAAATTGTTGTATTCCCAGGTGGCTCAGTGGTAAAGAATTCACGTTCTGTTGCAGGAGACATGGGTTCGATCCCTGGGTGGGTAAGATCCCCTGGAAAAAGAAATGGCAGCCCACTCCAATATTATTGCCTAGGAAATCGCACGGACAGAGGAGCTTGCCAGGCTCCAGTCCAAGGGGTTGCGAAAGAGTCAGACATGACTGAACGACATTTAAGACCTACAAAAAAGTATGAAGAACAATATAAAAAACGTTCATTAACTCAACACCTACTTTAGTAACACTGCCCAATCAGCAGAACACATCTCTTCTTCCTACCTCCCTTCCCAACATAGATAATGAGTATCTGGAAAATAAACTCATAAAAAATGAGTATTTTTCAAACTGGTCTTCTTACAAAGAAATGGACTATAGGACCACTTTTTAAATCTCTCAGAAGATCTGATTTTATTATTATATACTTATATTTCCTAAGTGAAACAGATGAAAACTTAAGTCATTCTTTAAAATATGAAAGATGTTAAATGCAATCCATATGGTATTTAGAGGCAGATATGATTATCCCACCTCTAGGCTGAGAACATATCCCATAACCCCTATATATGTCCCTTATTCCCACTCAATGTCTCTGCCTTTCACGAGTTTACCTACCTTGACATTTCTCTAAATTAGTACCCTTTTCTTGAACTTAAAATTTTCTCATCCTTTCTGTACTTTATTTAAAAAAGAAAACAAACAAACAAAAAACCCTAGGGTTGTTTCCAAATATAAAACTGATGTATTAAAGATATCTTTTCAAACTATATTTTCACTATACCCCTCATTTCCCTCCCAAATACTAACATTTTTCTTAAATCAACACTTTATACTATATACTGATGATAAGAAATCTGAAATCATCTTCAGACATTCTTTTGCTACCCTAAAAATACCTCCTTTAAG